GACAGCCATGGCCGAGGTGGGCGGCTTCCTGGGCGCGCTGGACCCCGACCTGCACGGCTTCCCCCCCGGGCTGGGCGCCGGGCTGCCCCTCGCCGACTCCCCCGGTTTCCTCAACGAGCGCCTGGGGCAGATCGAGGGGCGGCTGCAGCGGGGCTCCCCCACCGACTTCGCTCACCTCAAGGGCATCCTGCGGCGGCGGCAGCTCTACTGCCGCACCGGCTTCCACCTGGAGATCTTCCCCAACGGCACGGTGCAGGGCACCCGGCAGGACCACAGCCGCTTCGGTAAGGGGAGCCGGGGGGGCCGGGCCGGGCGGCTCCGCCGCGGCTGGGTGGGTGCCCGGCCGGCCCGGGAGCAGGTGCCCCGCGTACACAACTAGTTACCCCGCTAATAATATAAATCAGCCCGGGACGGATATAATTAGACCCCTAAACAAATGCGCTCACTCTCCAGCAATGCGGGAGTTTTTATTTCCAATTTCCTACTCTCCCGGCGCTCACCCCTTCTGCAGGTGCACAAAAACGTGCCTTAGCGGGGGGGGAGGATTGAAAAAAGAAATTTTTTTTAAGTGCGGGGGTGGTGGTGACCGGCTCTAGCTGTGCCTCTGAAGTTAGCGGTGAGGGAGGCAAAAGAAAAAAAGAGCAGATTGGAAAAACAAATTCCTAGCTTTTTTGTTGTTTCGTTGGAATTTTTTTTCCTCCTTTTTTTTGGCCTCCACAGATATTTGAGAGCTGATTTCTTTTACTTACATGAATCTCATTAGGAGTGCGTCTCCCCAAAGCGGGCAGGGATCAGTTGGCTGGATGGGTGTTAGAAGCTCGGTTTGGGGAGGTTGTTGGGAAGGGGAAGCTGAAGGGGGGAAAAACGCTTAGGGGACCTCAGAAAGAAAGAAGATGGAACAATAGGCAGAGCACCGTGGATTTACCTTGCTGCCCGGGATGCATCTGGAAGACTGCAGCGCCTGTATCAGTGTCACACAAGAGCAGGGATCTCTCATGAGACTATATGTAATCTTCAAAAAATGCATCCCAAGCCACAGGCGAAGAACTACAGTAAGTTTGAGCACAGCTAAGAAAAATTCCCGCTACTTCAGCATCTAGTGCAGGTGTCTGTGTAAGCTATCAACAAGTTCCATGCCAGTGATCTCAGCTATGTTGTCAACAGGTTGCAAGAAGTGCTCGCAAGACTTTTTATAGTTTTCAAGTGATTTAACTCCTTGGTGAAAGGAATTTTTTTCTGCCTTGACTTGTTGGCAACTGGTCCTTTCTGATACTTCAGGAACGCTGCTGCTGCTATTGTTGGTAGTGTAAGGCAGGTTTTTGGAACAATTGAAGAAACTTATCTCCGTACTGCGCTTTCCATAAACACCAGGTGTGTGCATAGCATGTCCCTGCCTAAATCAACAAGAAAGTCATAACCCGCGGGTCAGAGTCAGGTACTAATGGGCTTGTGGGGCAAGCATTTTTTAATTACCTCCCAAAAGACACACATCTTTTAACCTTTCCTGCTGCAATACATGATGGGTTTCCACGTTAAAGGAAACTGAAAGCAAACCCATTGCATCTGTTTGGTTTTAGTTCAATCTGCCACGTAGTATTTCTATCAGTTCTTTTTACTTATCTTTATACAAGTAAACATCCAGTTTCAAATGGCAGTGTTTGTCTCAATTACATTTTTTTATAAAGATTGTGTAAAAGAAATGTATTTCCAAACAAACTTTGGAAAAATGCACTAAATGGGCTAAAACTTTTCATGATTTTTGCTTAAGCTTAAATCATACAGTGTGTTCAATAAATCGAAACATTGGCATTCCCTAAGTGTTTTAGCAGTCAGCATCCAGCTACGTAAACTAGACCAGACTTCAGATATAAAATATTATAGTTTTCTGCTTCAGGGTTTTCCCAGAGGCAGTGTAAAATAAATAGTTATTTGTTGTAATTGCAAGACAAAGCCCCAGAGGATTAGACTGGAATCCTCATGTTCAGATAAAGTTGGACTAAACCTCACTTCAGCAGGGACTCAAAGCAATAACGTATTGGCACACAGTATTCACCATCTGCATTCAGTAGCCATGAATATTTAAATTCCAATGTTACTGGTATGGTTTGTATTAGGATGTCATGTATCAATGCATTCCTAAATTTTGCATGCAGCAGTCAGAAAGCAGTAACTTATTACAGAAATAGGCAGCCTGAGCAGTTCTGGGGAACTACAAAACTGGTGAGGGATACAGAGCTAGACGAGCTGCCTTAAATCTAGGGGCATCTGGGGAAATACTTAGAAATTCAGTACGGTGGTTTGGTAGATCAAGCCCACGTGGCTGGAAGATGCTCCCTGATACCATGAGCTAATAATTAGTGTGCTCATGGATGGCTGCGACACCACAGCAGATGCAGATGGGATGTAGGGTAGAACCAGACTTTGCATCCCTTAATACTGAGAGAGGTTCAGGAAAAGGCAGACAGTATCTGCACCCTTGTGTGCACAGCCATCCCAAAAGCTACCAGATGTGCAAGACATCCAAATCTTCCAGAGAGGAAAATAAAGAGCCAAAGACCAGGTGTTGCAGAACATATTACCAAGGTCCTAACAGCGAGGGTTAAAGGGAAGGATTCTTTTGTACCACAGCATTCAGGGGATGTGACGACAGGACACAGGGGAGGTAGCAGCATCACCTACCCACACTGCCTGAGCAATCACAGTAACTATTCCCTCTCATTGGTTGAGGACTGGAGCATTCCTAAATCACACCTGTCTTCTGGAACACAGTATTTAATACTTGTAAAAATAGAGAGTCACACAAGAACAATGTGGCGCAGCTTACTTTTCCTAGAGGAAACGGGCTTAACACAAAATTTGGTGAAGCCTTCCAGCATTGTTGGAAAAAGGCTGATTATCACACTAGGGAAGTGCCCAAGTTCACTCTCTGAACTGGCAGCTCGGCCTAAGTCATCCCAGAAAAAATTAAGTGTTTTCAAAAATGTTCTCACTGCATCTGCTAAGAACCTTCCTGTACAAAGAAATAAAGGATGGTCAGAATCTGGAGGGAGTTTGGGTTGACATTAGCCTCCCTGTGAGAATCCTTCTCAGAATGAAACAGAGATAAATTTGCCAGGAAAAATCAATGCCAGGAGGAATTGCTCCTTTTCTGCCTCATGTCTGTTTTACAACAGCGTTAAACAAGTGACACAATGGTGCTACTCTTAACTGCAAGCAAGGAGATCAAAAGGCCTTGAGTTTGTACTGCAGACTAACAAAGGCAGCAAATGAAGCTCTTCTTGGGTACGAACCCTGCTAACGGATCTGTAACCGAGTCTCCTAGAGAAGCTAATGAAACCTCCAGAGAAAGTTTTGCTGTAGATTTTGACATTCAGACCATAGTGCACCTGTTGCTGAACAGTTGTTGAGGTTTTTAGCTGAAGCTTTAGGTTTGTAGCCATTAATACAACATCTGATGTTTCTGTACCCCTGCTCCTGAATATAGTCATGTAAGAAGAGACAGGTGCAAGGAGCTGAATTGTTCTTTGAGGGATGGTTTATAGTAAGACCAGAGTGTGTGGATCCAGCCATGGCAAAGCTTGGGAGATTATTCTGTGCTTTGGTGGTAAATGAATCCAGTCAGAGTCTTAATCAAATCTCTTCAAATATTATCTAGAAAGACTCAAGGAACAAACAGAATGAATAATCAAAGCAAGAAAAGAGGGGCAAGTCCTGGGGTAAAGAAAAAAGAAAAAGGAAAAAGGGGAAAAAAAGAAAGCATGTTCTACCACAAAAACACACCGCTACAATTGGAAAGAAAATTCTTGAGCTGGCCCCAGTGGCCACTCCCTGTGCTGTTGGAGATCAGATGTACAAAGCTGCAATTTTGTCTAGCAATTGGAGTGAGTTAAGGACAGGATGGATATCCGCCCACATTTTTTCAGCCTTCACTCTGTCTCCTGACTTTTGTGGGTTTAAGTTACATTCTTAATGCTGTTTCAACATAGTCGTCTTCCGTGCACGTCTCTAAGTGCCACTCAAAGATCAGAAAAGGGGACTATTGCAAGGGACACTGTCAGAAGAGATTATCATGGCCACACCTTGAAGAAATTTCGTTTGCAAAACCAGCAAGTGTTTACCCAGTCTGCACCAGATGAGGGGTCTCACTCACCCCCTCAGAGAGGGAAGATGCTAATGCTCCTCCTAGGTTGCTCCTTACCAGGGCTTCCGAGACCTGGGTTCAGGTTACACATACAGAGTGTGCTTGTCAGTATACTCAAGAAAAGCTCTCAGTTGCCTTGCCTCAGACATCCCTTGGTTTCTAAATAGGACCAACAATGTTTTCCTGCTTCCCAGGGGTGGCAGAAGACAAGTTAGATATATGCTGGTGCTGAGGACTGTGTTTGTGCCTATAGGAAAGTTGATCTAGTGCTCTCCAGTTATCAGGTATTTTTCACTTTAACATCTGCTTGTTTCCAGCATGGGACAGCCTCCCCTCTTTCCAGGTATCCTTGTACTCCTTTCCCTCCGTATTACTTTTTACACTCTCTATGCTAGGCATATTTCAGCCTGGAAGATGTCTGCACTGGTCCATAAAGCATGTTTTCTGTTGTTTGCTTCCCTGTTTGTCTCAAGGAATTACTCCTCCCAAGTCTGTATTTCATCTCCCCCCACCCCCAGCACCCGCTGCCTGCAGGCAGGATTTGATGCACAAGCCCATGAGTAGGCAGGGCAAAAGGAGAACAAAAAGTCTGATATAAGGTAGGAAGAGCCAGCTTAGCTGCCAGCATCTGACTGATGAGTCTGCGCCGAGCAAAGTGGGACAGAGGTGTCCATGGTGCTCTGGTCTGTCCTGTATTTAGGCAGTGATGCAGTTATCAGAGTTATTGCATCCACGCCTGGCCGAGCAGAAGACACGTGCCCCAAGCTGAGGGGTGACCAGGAGCTGTGACTGCCACTGAAGTCAGCTGGCTCAGGTGGCTCCTCATCACGTGGTGATTTTACTGAAAGCATATTTTAAGAGGAGCTCTGGGAGGTAACCTGATCAGAGTGGCAATTGCTCAGGACTGGACATTTTGCGAGCTATATTAAGAAACCTGGAGCCACGCTAAAGGTTAGAGCAACTTTGTCCTCCTGTCAGTGGAGACATCTTGTCCAGTCATCAGATGAGATGGTGAAAACCCTCTTCCTTCCTCTGTTGCTACCTCCCAGCTAGTTAATTCAGCACTGGACGTGGGTAAAGACTGCCCGTGGTCTCTA